AAGAAGAAGAAGAAGAAGAAGAAGAAGAAGAAGAAGAAGAAGAAGGAGAAGGAGAAGGAGAAGGAGAAGGAGAAGGAGAAGAAGAAGAAGCCTGCCTAGACTCCCAAGACAATGCGGATTAAAAGGTTATAGTTAGATAAATAACGCGAAAAAGTAACACCATTAAAAAAACAAAACTAAGTATTTTCGTGAGTTGTTTTTATTTGTCTCTATTCACAATGTGTTATTGGATTGGCTCGATTTAAGAAAAACAACACGCTCACTGGCCGCTTATGCATCAAACAATACAACGAAGCAACCCTCTCAATGGTACGTATTGAATCGTGAATTTTTGTTCACATGTTAAGTTGGTTTGGCCTATAAATTCTCTGCAATAAAATGTTTGATTGAGTGTTGCTTAGTCCGACTATCAAGATGCCAATATTATCTGTGGAAAATCGAGAAAGAGCTATTGAACGTCAGCAAGCCGGCGAGAGCCCTCAGCAGGTGGCAACAGTCCTGGGAGTGCATGCCAGCACTATTTACCGCCTGCAAAACAGATTCCAGGCAACCAACTCCACGCGAGGCCTCCAAAGAAGCGGGAGACCTCGACTGACAACAGCTGCCCAAGACCGCTTCGTCGTGCGTCAGCATCGCCGAGATCCGCGGTTGTCTGCCTCCGAGACAGCTCAGAACTCCATAAGAACGCCCGGTAGAGCCGTGAGTGACCGCACCATACGCCTCCGACTTGTGGCCAGGGGGCTGCGTTGGCGGCGTCCGGAGCAGAGAGCACCCCTGAACGCCCATCATCGACGAGCTCGTATCCAGTGGGCTCAGAACCACGTTAACTGGCGTCATCGACAGTGGCAGCGTGTGACCTTCAGCGACGAGAGTCGCTTCTGCATCGATCCTGACAATAGACGGGTCCGAATTTGGCGCCGACCCGGACAACGCTACTCTGACGAGAACATCTGGGAGAGAGATCGGTGCGGAGGATAAAGCGTGATGATGTGGGGCGCAGCCGGTATCAATCAAAGACTGGGCCCATAATCTTCCAAAATTTAGGACCTGAACGTGACAACAGAGTGACGGCACAGCACTACATCAACCAAGTCCTGCTTGCCCATGTTGCTCCATTTTTCTTGAGACATCAAAACCACCTCTTTCAGCAGGATAACTCCCGGCCTAAAACAGCACGTGCTATCCAGATAGAACAACATATCCACTGTGCCTCACCCACCCCTATCACCATATGTGAACCCAATAGAACACCTTTAGGACATCCTTCAGATGCGTCTCAATCAACTCCAGCCCAGTCCCCAACGGTCAAATCAATCGCTAGGTCCTCTCAATGCACCGCGGGTGCACTGCCGTCATCAAAGCTAATGGAGGGCTTACCAGATACTGACTGGAACTTAAGACCCAAGGTCAAGGTCATTGATACCGATTTACAAATTCTGTCCCCAAGCAAATTCCCAACCTTCAGGCATTGTTTTGTGCAATTTTAAATACCTCAAACATGTTTCTCGCAATAAAAATATTGCTTCAATTTACTCTCCTCTTCTTATGTCACGTGAATTCGCATTACTTTTCCCGGTAAGTATATTATAGCAGGAGCTTCCAAAGGGATCGAAATTGTGTCGATGGTGGCGTAAAAACAACACTGTACTGCATAACGGGAGGACGCCCAGGCTTCTCAAAACTGTTACATTATAATTTTTTAAAAGTCTTTGTTTCTTTAGTTTGTGTTTTATTTTATTTTTATTGGGGGAGGGGGGGTTGTTGCCGTCTGTTTTTATTTTGTTTTCTATTATGTATTCTGGGTTTTTTTGTAGTTGTTTCTTCAGGGAGAGAAAAGAGGGGGAACAAGAAGAAAAAAAAAGGGATGGGGGTGGGG